AAAAAAAAAAGAAAGAAAGAAAGAAAAAGAAGAAGACAAAGGGGGACTGGGGATATAGCACAGTACAAAGGCCCAGTTCAATCCATAGTAACAAAAAACCACATCTGGCTGCTGAGTGGAACATGGATTCATCGCCAGGATGCAAGAAGGAAAGCCGGCAGTCAGGCGAGGAGGCTGTGTCAGCCAAGGCTGCAGGAGCTAGGGTGGCTCAGACCACGACAGAGACCCAGCAAAGGGAACAGAACGGGGCCACTTTCCCAGGAAGAAGGTACTGGCAGCACTTGCTGAGGAATAACAGTTACTCAGGGTCATGGTCAAGGCTAAGGAGCCCAGGAAGGACTCAGCCTTCTGAACATCCCTGGGGTTTTAAACTGATTGATTGCTGTGAGGACCTTCACGTTGGAAATCGGAGAGCATAAGCACGGGAAGGGGCAGCAGGAAGGCAGGGATTTAGCGTGGCTGCAGACTCCAGAACGGAATGCAGGCGTGAAAGTAGGGACACCTTAGAGAACCCTCACCCTTATCTGATCCTGGACAAACTCTCAGCTCCCCTCAGATTAGCATTGCTGTATAAATGGCACCATGGAAATGTGTGTGGAGACAGGTTGATGTCCTCGCCGATGGATAATTGAGAAATGGTGACTGTTTAAATTTTTTAAACATTTATTACAGTAAAAGGCATATTGCCATTGATCCCCATCAAAATACTCCCCCATGTAAACCGGATGTGGTGGCACACACCTGTCATCCTAGCACTTAGGAACTGAGGCAGAAGGGCCTCAAGTTCAAGCCCAGTCTGGGCACCTTGGGGATTTAGTGAGACTTTGTCTTTTTTTTAAAAAAAAAAATCTTATTGGTACATTTTTTATATACATAGTGATAACATGCATCATAGGGAATTTGTACTTGTACATGATATATCTTTTTTTTTTTTATAATGTTTTTGAGACAGGGTCTCACAATGTGCTGTAAACTGGCCTTGAACTTGCTTATGTAGTCCAGGCTGGCCTTGAACTCACAGCAACCCTCCAGCCTCAGCCTCCCGAGTGCTGAGATTATAGGTGTGTGCCACCACATGGTATATCTTGCTTCTTTTTTTTCCATTTCCCTCCCCTCCCTTCAGCCCCTCTCCCCTCTTCATTTACAAAAACTTTGTTTCCATTTTTCCTTCTTTTTTTTCTTGTCCCTGTTTTGAAATTAAAATAAAAG